CACACACAGAAGCTCACTAACTAGCAGATGCGCACACACACACACACACACACAAACACAGAAGCTCACTCACTCACTAGCAGATGCACACACACAAAGACATCCACACACACAGAGGCAGGCACCCCCCCACACACACACAGAGGCAGACATCCACACACACAGAGACAGGCAGACAGCCACACACACACACACAGGCAGACAGTCAAACACACAGGCAGATAGCCACACATGCACACAGGCAGATAGTCATACACACACAGGCAGATAGTCATTCAAACACACACACACAGGCAGACAGTCATACATACACACAGAGGCAGAATGTCACACACACACAGGCAGACAGTCATACATACACACAGAGGCAGACAGTCACACACACAGGCAGACAGTCATACATACACACACACAGAGGCAGACAGTCACACACACACAGACAGTGTCACACACACACAGGCAGACAGTCATACATACACACAGAGGCAGACAGTCACACGCACACAGACAGTGTCACACAGACAGTGTCACACACACACAGGCAGACAGTCACACATAGACAGTGTCACACACACACACACACACAGGCAGACTTTTTTTTATGATCCTGGCCGGCCATGTGTGAGCTTTGCCGGCCACCTGGCTTCCCCTCCTCCCATGTGGTCCTGTGCGGTCGCACAGCTCACACATGGCCGGCCGGGATCACAGGAGCCTGAGCAATGATAAGGGCTGTCAGCCCAGCCCCAGTTGCCGCGCCCCACCAGGAAATTTCCCGGTATCCCGGTGGGCCAGTCCGGCCCTGTATTGACCGCATATACAGATTGCCAAAACCTGCTTCTGCACCCAAGGGCACTCACAGAGACACAATTGAGAAACTTAATTTCTTCAAGGTTAAGGAAGACTTCTTAGCAGCTCTGCGTTCAGGAGATCTGACTACAGAATTCAATCAGATTTTTCCAGGACTTTTCACCGGCCACCAGCGATGTAAAGACTTTGGGCAATGTACCCTAGAACTGCGTCGCAGAAACATACACTACAAATGGGGTTTTCCAGTCAATGTCTTGTTTAGCTTGAATGGTTGTAACTAGATTGTTGCTACTCGGAGGAAGGAATGGAGCTGTTGAGTGCCCTCACTTCTTCAGATCCAGTTACCCCTGAAAGATCGACATGGGGGACACCACAGCCACCATTGAGGAAGATAAGGAGGATAGACGAGATGCCACAGTGATGTCCTGAAGATCCAGTGCGATATATAAACATTTGATTGCTTTTGCGGTTTCTCACTTTTTCCTGTTTTTGTTAAACTCCAGAGATATTTATTTTGTCTTTTTTCTTTTTTTTTACTGAATCCTTTATTTATTATTATTTTTTTTAACCTTTTTTTCCTCTTCCCTTTTTTCTTTTAAAATTTTATTATTTTTTGTAATTTAATTTAGTTATATATCTATTTATTTATTAAATCAAATTTTCTCCCCTCTTATTCTCCTCCATTTAATATTTTATCTTAAATATTTCAACTTGCCCAGTGTCCCTACTCACTCTCCCCCTAAAAGGCCTGTATATTTTTAAGATGGGATATTTCTTAATTCCCCTCTTAAGGCCTTACTCTTTGTATATATTTTACTTTGTATTTTTTATTTTTTCATATCATTTTCTGATTTTATTTTCCATTTTTTCGTCCCTTATGGGACTTTTGCTCCAAGTTTTTTTCCTTTGTCTTTTTAATGTTTTTTGATGTTATGGAATACATATTTGTTATCCAGAATATAATTATATTTTCAATTAGGCATATTATTACTGTTCCATTGGTGCAATTTTATTCAAAGTCAGGTGGGACATGTATTCTGCCTGCTCTTTGGACGACCTCTGTCTTGTGATTTTAATGTTTGGTGTGCTAAGGTCCCTCAAGTCACATGTAACTTTTTACTAACTCTGCTTACAAATCATTAAAGTATAAAAAAAATGGTTCTGAGATTTTACTCTCATAATGTGAGGGGCCTTAATACATCACATAGGAGGCGTTTGCTGTTCAAGGAAGTAAAGAAACAAAAGTCTGACATTCTATTTATACAGAAAATTCACTTTAAAGAAGGAAGTATCCCTAAGCTTATGTCTAAGGATTTTCCAACCCAATTTCATTCCACATTTAAATCAAAATACAGAGGAGCTTATATATTGTTACGTAAAAATTTGGCTATTAAAACTGAGGAAGTGCTTACTGATTCTGGAGGTCGTTTTGTAGTTTCGAGAGGTACACTTGGTGGTGTGGAATACACACTGGCAAATGTATATTTCCCTAATTCTACGCAATATCATTATTTGAGAAAAATGGTTATTTAAAAATGTCATGCGCAGACGGATTATTGGTGGGGATATGAATTTTGTGCTGGATTGCGAACAAGATATAATTAGAGAAACTGAAAGATCATCCAAAAATTATATTCGTAAACAATTGGATAATTCATGCTCTAAATTTCTTTTTTTGCAAAACTTGTTCAATATTTGGCAGATTCAACACGAAGGAGAGCGAGATTATCCATAACACTCCACCACTTACACAACATGTACTCTCGTGAAGACAGGTTCTTGATGGGTGAACATACAATTACCTCTGTAATAGCGTCTGCTCTTTTAGACGTCAACTGGTCAGACCATGCCCCCATTACTCTCCATTTAGAAGAGTCTTTTCAGTCGTCTCCAACTAGGTTGTGGATACTCAGTGATTATCTAGTTAATGTCCCAGAAAACAAGGCACTTGCAGAAAATTTATAAAAAATTTATTTTCAGCACAATTTGACCCTAAATTTGAATACAACTTCACTATGGAATGCCCATAAAGCAGTGTTAAGAGAACATTTAATTCAAAGGGCATCATACCTAAAGAAAATTTGATCTAAAAATTTGAAAGAATTAGAAAACGAATAATATAAATTGAATTTGGCAAATAAATTTGACCCTTCTTTATCCCTAGCTGCAAAAATCTCTGAGGTTAAAGCGAAACGTAATACTTTGCAATTGGAGCATACTGCTGTTGAGGAGACTGAAACAAGTCTTTTATTAACAAGGAAATAAGCCCTCATCATTATTCGCCTCTAAGTTGCGACATAGGCTGTCACATTCCAGAATTGAACATATATTTAATTATGATGGCATTAAAATTACTCATCCCATTAAAATTAGTAATACATTTGCAAACTACTATAGAAAATTATACAATTTGACTTTAGACCCTGATATAACTCAGCCCACATCATACAAGATTCGTTCATTCTTGGACAAAGTCCCTTTGAGACAGATTTTGGCCAACAAATTGAATACTCTTGACTTATCTATTTCATTAGATGAAGTGTTAAATGCTATTAAAACAATACCTACTGGTAAAGCTCTGAGACCTGATGGTTTCACCATGTCATATTATAGGTCTTTCTCAGGCATTTTAACCCCATACTTAACTGAACTGTTTAATCATTATTGAACTACAGGGGAAATGCCTGGGGAAGCCTTGTGCACACAGATTGTAACTCTGCCTAAACCAGGTAAAGCTCAAAATGTTTTGTCCCATATCCCTAATTAATAATGAAACAAAAATGTATGTATGAGATTTAGTTTACCGGAGCCCTTCATCAGAGCAGTGTGTGCACTATATTGTTCTCCAATGGCAAAGGTCTCTGCTACAGGATTTCTTTCTGATAGTTTTGCATTGTTGAATGGGACAAGACAGGAGTGTCCATTGCCACCACTCCTTTATGTGCTGGCAATGGACCCCTTGGATGCAATGAAACATAATTGTACGGAGATAGAGAGTATAGCAGTTGGGGGTAATGAACATAAAATTCCAAAGAAAATCAATAAGATGTGCTGGCGTTGTTGCCAACAGGAAGGCTCTTATGTCCATATTTGGTGGAACTGTCAAAAATTAAAACCTTTTTGGGAATTAACATATAACACATAAACATTTTTGACAGATTCATATGACAGTTTCTCCTCAATCTGCTTTATTACATCTTGATTGGCCTGAATTATCGAAAAAAAAAAATAGGTATATGGTCACCCATATTTTGATTTCTGAAAAGAAATGTATTGGAAATTCCTGGAAGCAAAAGGAATCCCCAACATGGGTAACACTTAAAACGCAAATCTCTTTCCAACTGAAAATGGAGAGAGAGCCCTTGCCTATAACTAAATATGGTTGGAATATATGCAATAACTTTATCCAAGAGGACTAGCATGTACATATATATATATATATATATATATATATATATATAAAATTGGATGAGAACTCCCTGAATATGAAGATATTACTTTACATGCTCCTCCTGCCTCTCTGCCGTCTTCCACCCTCGAGAATACTCTGGGGGTTTATAATGTGAATAAGATATTAAACAGGTAAATTTCAAATGAGAATCCCATTTAGACTTCTCAACCATATTTAAATGCTTTAGACCATCATGTTTTGTCCGTGTTTTTGTTTGTATGTAGTGCAGTATGCTGGGGTCTCTGAGGAACTGGATCTAAATAGCATGATTAATTTGTGGTTTGGACAATAGGGAATGGGATAAATGGGCACCGAGAGATCATTAATGTACTGTATTATGATGTTTTGTGATTGTATGTTTTATTTGATTATATGTAAAATATTTAATAAATATTTATAGACTAAAAAAAAAGAACATAAAATTGGTCTTTTTGCAGTTGACATTATGCTGTCTTTGAGAAATCCAATGTCCTCGATTTCACCTCTAGTGTCAATCCTGCAGGAATTTGGCGAAACTTCATATTATAAGTTGAACACTGGTAAAACTCAAGCCCTTGCTTTCTTTGTCCCATGGTTTTAATTGGACACTTTAAAAAAAAAATAACTTCAAATTTGACTGCATGGACTCATACATTTCTTATATAGGTATTGTCAGGAACGTTCGGGGATCCTACACGCAGAATGCAAATACCAGTAATGTATACCGGACCTTAGGATGGGGTACCGACTTTTAAAAGAAACTCTGGAATAATTAATTTCCTGTTAAGTGAATGTAATATCCAAAATAGTCTGTCAGACCTACATAAGATGCTCTCTGGTGGCTTCAGTAGCCACTATTAACAACCAGTTGGATAATCTGGAATCCACTAACCAAACAATCATCCCGGATGTCCAACTTCCTGTAGCTCAGCCAGAACCAAGCACAGGAGGTAACGCTAATCCTCTACCTACTAAAAGTACTAACATCATTAATCCAGTACATTTTATCCCACAAAATTTAAAACATGACAAATTAGAAGGCAAAGATGTTAATTTGTCTTCTCTCCTCATTGCTTCACAGGATATAATTGAAAACAGGTCATACACGTTTGATGATTTATCTGTGGTAATGAAGTCTAGACGCCAAAATACAATGTGAGAGATAGATAACACAAGAAATGAATACCCAAAAGTTTGACAAAGACTGGTGGTAGAATTAGTGCATGGAAAGAGTTAAAATACCACCATTTAAAATACCCTAGGGTGTCTACATTTCAAAAATATATGATTTGATGGGGGTAAATTACATTGGCTGGCTTAAAAAATGTCCTATAGGTCATGGGTGCATGATGACCAGCAGTGAAAATTACAAGTTTGAAAACTGGAATGCGCACCCTCCAAATAAGGTCTTTTAGCCTCCAGAGAACCCAAAACACCTACTTGGATGGTGTCACTGTACTCGGGAGATGTTGCTGAACAAATATTGGGGTGTTCTTTGGCAGTAACCCTTAAAGTTCTTAGTACATGTATTCTTAAATTGCTATGTGTGTCACAAAATCACAATTTTTTTTTTTTTTTAAATTGGCATAGATTGGTGGTAAAATGGTTGGCATGAAAAGAGTCAAAATACCCCAAGTTTAATTAATACCTTAGGTTGTCTTCTTTTAAAAAATATATACATGTGAAGGGTTATTCAGGGATTCCTGACAGGTATTACTGTTACAATATAACTTTCGCTAATTTTGAAACAAAAAGGTTTGGAAATAGCAAAGTGCTACTTGTACTTAATGCCCTAAAACTTTCCAAAAAAGCTAAGAACATGTTAACATTGCATATTTCTAAACTCAGGACAAAATTTAGAAACTATTTAGCATGGGTGTTTTTTGGTGGTTGTAGATGCGTAATAGATTTTGGGGGTCAAAGTTAAATTTGTTTCATCATATATTTGTAATTCTTTATAGTAAATTATATCATATGATGAACATAATGGTATCTTTAGAATAACCATTTAATTGGGAGAAAAATGGTATATAATATGTGTGGGTACGGTAAATGAGTAAGGTGTAAATTACAGCTAAACACCGCAGAAATGTAAAAACAGCCTTGGTCCTTAACGGTAAGAAAATTGAAAAACGGTCTGCTCACTAAGGGGTTAAACAACAACTGGATCAATACTTGCAAAAACATAATATTCAGGGATACAATTTTTAATTAGTGGGGTTATAGCATATTGATCCAATGATATATCTCACTGCCATTCTGGGGTCAAGAATGATTTTTTCCCAGTTTTTTGCAACATTGAAAAGTAAATGATGGTAAGTTTTTTGCCTTCTTTTGTGTCAACAGCAAAAACAGATGTAAGAAAGACTGAACTTGATGTGCACGTCTCTTTTCAGCCTCTGTAATGTATGTTGATGATATATTTTATCAATATTATTGGAATTATGTTTAACATTTTATTGTATTACTTTTTACATTTCTGGGACACTTTTACCCAAATTCTTCTCTCTTTTTTCAGCGTGGGAGCTCATCCATTCGTGAGTGGAGTGTTTTTTTTTCCAATTGGGATCTTCAGTTGGAGTTCAGGATTTTCTCTCTTGGAGATTCTTTTTCTTCACCGACAAAGATGTTGCTCTGATTGTTTACATCAGTGGTTCCCAACCCAGTCCTCAATTAACCCCTACCAGTCCAGAATTTAGGGATTACCCACAAGGATGCAAGGATTTATGACGCCCTAGGCAAAGATCCATTTTGCCGCCCCCTCATGTCACTCACTCACTGACAGACACACACTGGCAGACATTCACACTCACAAACAGACACACAGACACACTCAATGACAGACATACACCCACTCACTGACACACATTCACACACTCACTGACATACATACATTCACTCACTGACAGACTCCTCTCGATGCCCCCACCTACGGGAGCCTTGAGGATCAGCTCAGTGCAGGGGGCAGCGCAAGAGCCGCTCGCCCAGCTCTGCAGCCCCAGACAGGGGGAGCCAAACAGGAAATATCTCAGTGGATGCCTAGTTCGCCTAACGGTTGCACCAGTCCTGATTACCCAGTTGTATCTAAGGTGTTTTTAGAAAAAAAAAAGAAAAAATAGTTGAGACATAACAGGGTAATACCTAAATCCTTGACTGGTAGGGGGTACTTGAGGATTGGGTTGGTAACCCCTGGTTTACATGTATTTTGTTTTCTTTGTGGGCTGTGAGATGCTGTGGTTGGCCACTGGAGTGCTTAGTTAACCCTTTCTCCCAGTTGTACATAATATTTGTATTTGCTGTTGATGGCAAAAGAAAGAGATAAACTTAATATTTGCCTTGTTGTCTTTCATGTCTTTAATAAAATCATGTTAATAGTAAGATCTGGTAGTAATTATTATTATTTTTTTATTTATAAATTGCCAACCTTTTCTGCAGTTCTGTACATTAGGTGCATAGTGGTGTTGGGATTGACGAGAGTATAAAACCAGTTGGGCAAATTGATAAAAACAAATTAAAGGTAAACACTACTCTGAGCCTCTAATCTTGCCTGCATAACAGAATGGGAAGTGAGACAATAGGAAGCAGGAAACAGCCAGTGAGTCCCCATTGTAGAATATAGATACATAGAGACCGACATGGTAGTGAAAGAAACTGAGTGAACCCTTAAGAATATTCTGCAGTACCCTTCTAATATGAGCTAACATGATCTGATCTTAATTTATATCCTACTAGTAGGGAAGGAGAACCTGATTAAAGAATGAATTTATCCACATACCCAAAACACTTTTTTTATTCTTTATTGTCCACATTGATACAATATTCATTGTCGTTTTTAGAATAAATATATGAATCTCTTGGTTCGATTTCTCTATGAAGGAGATTAATATAACTCAGATGTGCCAATCAAATAATGCACAATCAGGTAACTAAGTAGGGCTATTTCTTTAATATAATTAATTGCTAGTGATGTCCCGAACTGTTCGCCGAACGGTTCGCGAACGGTTCGTCACGAACAGTTCGCCACGGACTCATCATTGAGTAAACTTTGACCCTGTACCTCACAGTCAGCAGACACATTCCAGCCAATCAGCAGCAGACCCTCCCTCCCAGACCCTCCCACCTCCTGGACAGCATCCATTATGAAGCTGCATTCTTAGTGAGCTGTCCAGGAGGTGGGAGGGTCTGGGAGGGAGGGTCTGCTGCTGATTGGCTGGAATGTGTCTGCTGACTGTGAGGTACAGGGTCAAAGTTTACTCAATGATGAGTCCGTGGCGAACCGTTTGTGGCGAACCGTTCGCGAACCGTTCGGCGAACAGTTCGGGACATTCCTATTAATAGCCTCTTGTCTGCATTGCAGTCGGCTATACATGATACAGATATGTGAAGTGAATCATGACCTAATGAAAGAAATGAAGGAGCTTGGTAAAAATAGAGAAAATTCATCATGTTTACCTTTCCCATGAATGTCTGTCCACCGAAAACTAGATAACATGAGAATTTTAAGCTAAGAATCTGAATTGTTCATCGCACTGCTGGGAAATCACTAATTTATATTGATACGGATGAGATACTTCCCACAGAATATACCTGTTCTTCAAATAGAGCAGGGGTTCCCAACCCAGTTCTCAAGAACCCCCAACGAGTCCATGATTTAGGGATTACCCTGTTGTGTCTCAAGAGATTTTTTCTTCTTCTAAAAACACCTTAGACACAACTGGGTAATCCCTAAATCTTGGACTGGTAGGGGGTACTTGAGGACTGGGTTGGGAACCACTGAAATAGAGCATCTCCACCATTTCCACTAGGGTTTGTTATCAAATACTTGGATGATACAGAAGGTTATTTGAAAAATGAGCTGTTGACAAAGACTACAGTGTAAATGTTATAAGTGAAAAAAAAGTTAATTCTATTCTACAAAAGAGCCCCATCCCAACCATGAAGCATTGTTTGGACGTATAATTAAGACCAACATGAGCGACTGGATGGTTTGCAACCATTGAGGAAACAATTCTGGATTGTGCCATCAAGTAACAGAGGAGGGTGCTAGGGTGTCAAAAGATGTTTGTGTTTCATGACAATGACCATAGGTGATCAAAGATCTACAAAGACCATCAGAAAATATACTAATAAATATAAACGCAATCAGCTGAAACGGAATACATGTTGCATTTTGGAATGAGCATATTAATGAAAGAGAGAGAAATATCACTCTCCAGATTATACACTAAAGTGAGAATTCAAAGTGAATTTCAAACTTAAGGTAAAAATAGCCGACCTGGAAACATTCTCTGAGTCAGCAAGGATTCGGTCACTTTGGCCTTAAATCTGGCATTCACTTTGAATTAACTTTGAACTCTCACTTTAGAACAAAAATCGAATTGTCAATTCACTACGTGATACTAAAATAAAAAAGGCCCCTGAAAAGGTTTAGTGCGACTAACTATTGCAATTTATAGTCAGAGAGTAGAATCCTACATTCTCACCCTCTCTCTCTACAGGTGAGATTTTGTTAGGATACATATCACCCTGCAGTAGCTTGTACATTAGCACAGCTCTTTAAACGATGTACAAATAAATAGAAGTGGTTTTGCTTCCTGTAACACATACAGGTAATATGGCACATTCATTTTATGAGGTCAGAGTGTTGATAGAACATGAAAAGCAGAGTTACATGGAAATAAAATTGCTCAAGTCGTGTAAAAGTGCAGTTTATTTGGCTATATAATCTCTGTTTTGGCAGTCTGGCATTCAATCCATCCTCAGATCACATGCATTAAAATACATCAAGACCTGAACCAAACCCAAAAATTACACCTGAGAAAATTATAACCTTAAATAGCTTGCATGATGTAGTCTATATCAAATTTTCATAAAGTAGCATGAGAAAAGACCATTAACCAGAGTCGTACTTGGCATGGTCTGGGGGAAATAGATTTTTGCAGGCAACGCTCATAGAGATGCGGTGGGGAAGACTGATCAAAGTCTTTTACTCTAAACAGTGGTCTGAAGTGCTAAAAGTGGGCCAATCACCATGGAAACTAGTGGAATCAAACCGGCATATTTGATTGGCAACCTCTCTTAAATTTTGCACCATTTTTAGTATAGAACACTCTGATAATTTCTCCTATTGGGTGTACTTGTTGAACTTTTTCACACAGTCAGTTTTCCTCTAGTGTTTTTTTTGATACATCTACATTATTTTCAGATTTTTGTCCCCACTAAAAAAAGGTCCTCTTATGTTAGAAGAAAAAACATTAGCAAGACTCAGATGACTTGGTAATCATTTCTTTAAGATGATGTGGAGATAATAAGTTGTGATCATAAACACACAAAATAAACATCCTCTTAACATATATTGTTATGTCACATCTAGTAAGCTTTTAGATGACAGTCAAAATATGACGATACAAAACTCTATTACAATGTAAATTAGTTTTCAGATAAGTGCAACTCATAATCTTTGTATACTGTTTTGTGTCACCAATAAAGTAATAAATGCATTGGGTTTTTTTTCAAAACACTTTTGCTAATTGAATCGATATAGTTCAGATACCATCTGTCATTAGATGATAAAATAAATAACAGTGCATTATACAAAGCATTATACAGCATGCATAAATGGCATGTACATCCATGCTATTTATGTTTTAAGCAAACAAAATAATACAATAATGTAAATGCTATAATTGCAAAAAACAGTAAACATTGTTTGTCCTTATACAATATCAACAAGAATAGAAAATATGCATAGCATGTAATGTAATGCAGGGTTACCATAGTAGCCACTAGTCATTGTTGAGTGGAAATTCAGACTTTATGATTGGAAATTCAGCCTCGCATGTATATCATGTACCCCTTACTTCCCCACTATAAGCTGAATGTTGATATCTGCAGCCAGTCAAATAAGCTTCAATCGTGTAATTTACAGTCTGAAAAGTTATTTGAACAACCACCATCCATTGATATTCAGTTATTGCACACTGACTAAAAAAAAAAAATCATTCTCATGGTTAATCACTAAATTCTAAATTTTAGTGAACTCAAAATCAGATGGCAAAACTAAGACTAAATAACCAAGTTCAAACAGTTAAATCAGTGTAGTTTTCCAAATCAGATATTTTGCCAGTAATTTGCTTCTCAGATTATTTGTTACCATTCCGAGCTTCATGAATAACGCTATCTAATTTTCCTCTTTTATTTCTATACCTTATGAAATCATATCTACAATTCCTATAAATTCAGTATGACAACACTCTATAGTTAACTTAACCTAACTATGCATGTACGATGCAAAACAAAGAAGTGCACTACAGGGATTATTTGGAATTTAACATAGCATAAATAATAAATGTACCCAATGGCGTAACTACCGAGCTTGCAGGGGTTGCATCTGTTACCAGGCCCATCACTCCAGGGGGCCCGGCCGCCCTGCGGACTCTGTGACCACGTTGCCCTGCTGGCCATGTGTTGCGGCCCTGGCCTGAGTGGTAGAACCGCCGGGGTCGCACACTAAGAGGCCCATGCTGTTAGGGCCACCAATGCTATGTATTTCCAGGGGGGCCGGTCAGAACAGCGGCGCTTTAACAGCATGACCAGGCCCCCTGTGATGAGGTCAGTGCTGGGAGGAAGTGCCCTGGTCACTTCTCACATCTTACACAGAGCACAGAATGGGAGGAAGAAGAGGAGAAGAGGGAGTCAAAGTGGGAACTCTGACTGCCATCAGCCTGAACCACTGGACCCAATGGAAGTCACCCTCCTGCACCTAAAAGGTAGGAAACAGGAGGGTGACTAAACCATTTTGCAAGTGTGTGTGTTTGTGTATGTGTGTCTTAATGTATGTATGTTTCTCTGTATGTATATGTGTGTGTCTCTGTATGTGTGTATGTCTCTGTCTGTATGTGTCTCTGTATGTATGTGTGGGTCTCTGTATGTGTCTTTCTGTGTATGTGTCTCTGTATGTATGTGTGTGTCTCTGTATGTGTGTGTGTCTCTGTATGTATGTGTGTATATCTGTATGTATGTCTGTGTCTCTGTATGTATCTGTGTGTCTGTTTGTATGTGTTTGTCTTTGTATGTATGTGTGTGTGTCTGTATGTGTATCTGTTTGTCTGTATGTATCTCTGCATGTATGTATGTATGTATGTATGTATGTATGTCTGCGGATCTGTATTTCACTGTGTGCTCTGTGTTTCTGTATGTGTGTCACTGTTTGTATCTGAATGAGTGCTATTCTGTGTATCTGAATGTTTGTACTTAAGTGTTTGTGTATCTGTCTGTATGTGTGTCTGTGTATCCG